CTGATAACCGGGGGTATAGCACCATGTCGGTTGATGGAATTGAAGTCAGGTCCCCGGGTGTTTGACAGTTCCTACAATTGTAGGAGTCTACTCTATGCGACAGAGTTCAGCCAATAAAAGCACTGTCCTAGTGATTACGCATTTATCTTCCCTGCAAACCCCGCGAGTTATTATGACAAAACGATGGACATGACCACCTAAGTTTTTAGCTTGTGAAAAAATGCCCTTAAAACTGTCGATACCCTATCAGAAGTAGGCCTAAAAGTTAGCAGAGGAAAATTCTTGAAATACAGAAGTCCCGTCAGCACTGCAACGGGATCCTTTCGCCACATTTTCCTACGTCCTGGTATCTTCCCATGATTAAAATGTGGTCTGAAACTAGAGTTCCTCCTAGGATTCGCAACTGCATGCCCCCGCAACTTGAACTCTGTCTAGATTACAAAGTATATGACGCCTAGCATGAGTGGATGTTGCCTATTCCGCTTCTTCGGGCCTTCTCTCTTCTCTCGGGAGCTGGTTTGTGCATTTCAATCTCTGACTGTATGTACAAAAATTTTGTCAAAACTGGTTTATTCTGTGGAAGGCTCGCGTATACCTTCTACTCATTGACAACCTCCTTCTTTAGTATGACCCGACAAGGTACTTAGAATTTACACGAGGCGTATGCTTGCTCAGCCGTTTTCCTAATCACCAACACGGAAGAGAAGGAGAATAGGGCTGGCCACGAATAAATGTATCAAAATCCTGCTCACTGAAAGGCTGTGTGTATTTATAGCATCCGCCCAGGTTGGCTAATATTCTGTCCAATCGGCGTCAAGAGAAGGTTCTGGAATATTTGAACTGTTCCGCGTAGACAGGGCCCAATCAGATGGTAGTGTGGTCACAAACAATACGGGACGATGCAGCGGACGGGCTTTTGGATGATATTAACTCTTCGTCGGAATGTTCATGTTCACAACAATATTCAGTGTATTTATCCTAGTGATTAGGCGTTACAAGTAGCTCACGTGTTTACACGGCACAGATTCTCTGAGCCTGTTGTTAGGGCTCGGTTGCCAGGCCGTGGCGCGCAAGTCTTAAGGGACTGACGTGCGTCAATTGTGATGCAGTTTATTCTGGCCAAACTGGGAAATGTGCTTCAACCGGAATACACGCACACCAATTAGCGGTCAGAAGACGAGACTACCTATCCCAGCTGACCATGCACACACCGGAAACCGGTCCCAAAATTAGCTTGGGAGAATACGCTGATTGTCGGCACTTGC